CTCTGAACACATCCCTTCACTCTGGATGATGCTGTGAGCTCTTTACAAATCTTTCAGTTGCCTGGTTACCAGGTTCATATTGATGACAAATGCTGGATGACAGTGGGTTGAAAACTGCTGCGCCCAACATCCAGTCTCTAGCTTTCCTCATGGCCAGCCTGTTGCCTTTCGTCTCCCCAGCATTGTCTTCAGACTCTTCTGTTCCCAGTACGTTCCCTGTTCCCTGCAACTGGCCTCTTGCTTCATGTGTTGAGTCAAGTAGTTTCTGTGGTCTCTACCTTCCTCGGCTTGAACGGCTGGTCACAGTATCATGGACTAGATCACTCCCAAATACTTCAGGTCCCAGTTGTCTCATGGCAGGAGGGTTCTTCTGGAGCACCTGATTTCTTTTTCTCCCCTGCTGCTGTCTCGTGGTATCTCTGAGGCCCAACACAATGGGCTCCTACTCCTGACCAAGGCCTGTCTTTTATCTGTGTTCGTACAGCACCCATAACAGGTGGGCTCCCGTCCTCATTGGGTCCCTCGTCACTACTGTAATGTAAATGAATAATAATCATAGGAAGGCTTCGATTTTTATCAGTGAATGTCAGTAAACACTGATTTCGCTGTACACACCCAAACTGATGAAAAAATGTCTCCAGTAACGATAATCAACATGTATAGATAGGCGAAATAAGGAGAGGATTGCTTGAGAACTTACTGGGGTTTGATTTAAGGATCTGTACCTTTTATATTGTGACAGGCCATGTTGACAGTTTGTGTTTTAATGGTTATCAAGCTTTCACTGTTTGATCTCAACATCGATAACAACAATAATTATTGTCTGACTTCTTTTTAGTGTCTCGCCCCTCCCCATAATTTCTTGCAACTGCGAAAATTGAAATCAGTAAAACGTGAAGAAAATGCTTAAAAATAAACATCCATATAATCCATAAAATGAAAAGAAAAGAAAATGGAATTCTTGCAAACCCGATAGTAATGTACATGTCTCACAGCTTCTGTCAGGGAGTTATCAGCTCCAAGGCTTCATTCCCATATAACTCATACTTAGAAAAAAAAGATGACCTTGCCCCCGAAAGCTTACAGCCTGTGTTTGTACAGCACCTAGCACAATGGGGTCCTGGTCCATGATGGAGGCTCCTAGGTGTTACTACATTACAAAGACTAAAATAAAACTCTAACATCCAAAGTCCTTTCTGTCCTGCACTGGAAGAGGATTCTCTGTTCCACTAATCTTCAGTGCCCTTCTGTCCGTTTGTCTCTTGATGGGCAGGGGGTCAGTGGTATGTGTGTCTCTGTTTCTCTAACTGCAGCCCTCCTGCCGACACAGCATGGCCAATCCCTCTATTTCTCATCTTTAAAGACTTATCTGCCCTATCCTGCCCCCTGCCCAATGATACGATGAAGCCTCCGCTACCCTCGACTGTCTCATGTTCAGACTTACTCTGCAATCCATAGTGGTTGGGTGGAGAGGGTTGTCTTCTTGAGAGCTATGAAATAAGAGGCTGTCCAGCTAGAGTGTAAATTGACCAGAATATATTTCATTCACCCAGTGTCGGATCCCCAAGCTTTTGGATGAATATGTGCTTAACTATTTATAATTGACCTTTGCGCAAAAGAACATGAAATTTTTATAGCCCAAAGCTTCATTTATTAACTTTACTGGAGTGTAAAATATTGCTGTTTGCTATAAATTTATACCAGGACAAACAATATATATGCTAATTAGTGGCTGTGCAGCCATTCGGGTGAGTATCTGCTCGCTGGTCATTTTCAACAGGCAAAAGAGAAGATGGAATAGACAAATGACAATTGAGTCGTTTGATACTCAATTCAAACAGTGAAGTCTGAAGTGGTGAATTAATGGCGTTCATTATAAATAGTCCATTTCCTTTTCATTTCCTTTATAAATTAGTCCAGGTAACATGCTGTGTCCCTGAGAGAGCCGCTCGTAGGCAACCTGCTGAGATGCACCTGCAAAACCTGCCACTCAGGAGATCTCTGTATTACGCCTTTACGCTGTTTTTCACCTTCCTTGTCTCCAGCCATCCCTCTTTTCTTTCATCCCTTCCCCCTTTGTCTACATCCATCCCTTTTTTGTTTACTTTTATCCATTTCTTCCCATATCTGCTTCCATCCCTCTTTTTTCTTTCCTTTTCTTCTTTCTTCCTTCATCTCTTTCCATCCTTCTTTCCTTTCCTTATCTTGTCATCTACTGGCTTCCCCTCTTTATACCATATATGGACCAAACCAATCTTTTTATACCTTGGTCTAAACCTATGGGTCATACTCCTAAAGCACTTCAAAAACCCATACCTGTATAGAAAACAGTGCAGAGAAATACAAGCGCAATGTGCACATGCTGATAAATATCATGCTGATAAATATCATGCTGATAAATTGGCCATTTCAGTTTTGACAGGCAGCCAGCGAACATAGGGAGATAGGACTGGGAGAGACCTCCTGAGTTACTGAGTCCAGTCCCGTGCTGTTGCAGGCAGCCCCGTCATATCATCCCATTCATAAACTGATCAGGCTCCATCTTAAGACTAGCTAGGTTCCATGCCCCCCTACTCCTATTGGGAGGCTGCTCCAGACCCTCCCTCCTCTGATGGTTAGAAACCTTCTTCTAAGCTCCACCCTCAATTTATTCATGGCCAGTTTATCCCCATTTGTTCTTGGACCAACATTGTCTTTTAGTTTACATAGCTCTTCTCCCCCCCGATGTAATTATAGACAGCAATTCAATCCCCTCTCCGCCTTGCTGTTTGCTAGGCCAAACAAGGCAAGTCCTTTTGGTCTTCCTGTGTAAGCGAAGCTCTCCATTCCCCAGATCATCTCAGTAGCCCTTCTCTGAACCTGTTCAAGTTTGAATTTATCTTCCTGGAGTCAGAGTGACCAGAACTGTACACAGTTGCACTGCTTTGTACAATGGCATTAACATTTCTCTATCTCTACTGGAAATACTTTGCCTGATCCATCCTGGGATTGCATTTATCTTTTTCACAGCCCCCTCCCATTGGTGGCTCAGAGTCATCCTGTGATTGACCAATACACCCAGGTCATTCTCCCCCTCTCTCATTTCCAAAGGAGGAGTGATAAAGAGAAAAGCTTTTCAGAGATGAGTAGGGGAGTATGAGGGCAGTATCTCAAATGGTCCAAAGTCCATGGCTGCACCTCGAACCCTGGGACCTCTGGGCCTATGGATTGGTCTCTAAGATCAGCATGTATATGGAGGTAAGGAAATGGAACCTGTTCCAAGAGGGGTATAGACTATTGTCCCTCATGTCTGAGGCTGGGTAAAGATCATGTGATGTTATGGCCAGATGGACACAGAGGCTGGCATGGGTCTCAGGTGACACTCACAGAAATCAGCGTTCATAGAAACCCTCCTGGACACTGTCTACAGGCTATAGCCTAAGCCATGAAGACACACAGCGGGAAGCAGCCAAAATTATAGTTGTGCTCATTGAGAGCGTCATCTGCATGAATCATAGAACAGAGGGAACGGAGGAACAGAGCAGCAGCAGATCAAAATATAATTAGGCATCATGTGGAAAGGGAAATAAATTTCCCCTGGCTTCAGATACAAGTGATTGCCAGTGTTGCTTGTAAGTACCCCATGAGCACATCCGAGGCAGGTACTGTCGTTTGCTATGGGTTTGGGCAGCACCTAGCGCAGAGGGGCCTTCTCCCGGCTGAGGTTGCTAGGTGCTCCCAGAATATAAATGAATCATACTACTCCGGGTCAGCCTGTAACATGCAGGAATTGGGTGGGTGGAGAACGTGGGTATGTCTGTATTATCTGTATGATTGTTCTTTGTGACTCAGCCTACCCAGTCCTGCTATACTGCTCCCTACTCGGTCTCAAAGAATTTAGTTATTTCCAGAGACTTTCCTTGTGCTAAAATGACAAGGACTGGTGCCTGAGTGTGTACCTTTGAATAAGACACTTGTTAAGGACTATCAATAAGTGAATAGGATGGGCCCAGGCTGAACAATGGGGAGGCAGCGGCCAGGGGGAAACCAGTTTTCTCCAGCTTGTCTGCAGTGAGCTAGGGGAAGGAGAAGAAATTCCCCAAGAGCAGAATAAAGAGACAGAGGTGTTGGCACAGCCCTTTAAACCCACAGAGGCTGAGATGTTTTGGGGAGAGGCTCAAAGGGGCATATTTCCTGAGGGAGAGATAGGGTTGCTGGCGTCCAGTTTTTGACCAGAACACCAGGTCGAAAAGGAACCCTGACAGCTCTGGTTGGCACCACTGACTGAGCCATTTAAAGTCTGGTCAGTGGCACAGCAGGGGCCCGGGGCTAAGGCAGGCTCCCTGCCCACTCTAGCTCCGCGCGGCTCCCAGAAGCAGCCGGCAGGTCCCTGCAGCACCTAGATGTGTGAGTGGCCAGCCCAGGCAGGCTCTGTGACCAATGGGAGCTGCGGGGGTGGTGCCCGGGCGCGGGGTCAGCATGCGGAGCTTTCCTGGCCACCCATGCATCTAGAGGCTGCAGGGACCTGGCAGCCACTTCCCGGGAGCCGCGATAAGCGCTGCCGGGATCCCGCACCCAAACCCTCTCCCACTCCCCAACCCCCTGCCCCAGCCCAGAGTCCCCTCCTGCACCTAAACTCCCTCCTGGAGCCTGAACCCCACACCCCCCCCAAAAATTGCACCCCCCAGCCCACTCCTGAACCCCAAACCCCTCATCCCTGGGCCCATCCCAGAGCCTGCACCCCCAGCCACAGTCCTCACCCTCCAAGACTCCAACCCCAGTCTGGAGCCCTCTCCTGCACCCTGAACCCCTCTTTTCTTGCCCCACCCGGAGCCTGCACCCCCAGCCGAAGCCTTCAACCCCCTCACAAACACACCAACCCCGGCCTGGTGAAAGTAGGTGAGGGTGGGGGAGAGCGAGCAATAGAGGGAGGGAGGAGAGAGCAAATGGGGGTGGGGCCTCGGGGAAGGGGCGGGGAAGGGGTATTTGGTTTTGTGTCATTACAAAGTTGGCAACCCTAGGGAGAGGGAACACTTCGGCCTGACTGACCCGAAAGAAGAAGGGAGTCTCCATGATTTGGAAGAGACGCCTGAACCGGAGAAGAGCTGCCCCGGAGAAGGGACCTGGAACCCTGGAAGTACGCTGACCAAATCTCAAAAAACGCTCCAGAGTGGTGAGGAAACGGAGGCAGGGAATGGCATACAGGTATTTATTATTTTGCTTAGATCTGTATGTCTCTTGTACAGCCTAAAGTATAGAGTGATTGTTTTGCACAGTCTATTTTCTTCAACTACCAAGTACTCCCAAAGGGTTAATCCTGAGTGCTCACAACTGCAGAGCTCTGGGAAAGGGTGCGTTCAAGCCATTGAGGTGCATTGGTCCTGGGGGGGATTAGGGCAGTTGGGTTATGGGGTCCCACTTCCAAGGAGGGGTATCAGACAGGAAGTGTGCCAGAAAGGCCGGAGATGGTGAATAGAACCTATCCAGGGACTGAGGGGAGCTGAAAGCACATGGGCCCATTGTGTGGGTCCAAACACAGCAGTCTGGTGAGTGTCCAGCTGGGGGAGCTGGGCCAGGGCTGGGACATGGAGCTAGGTACCACCATGCATGTAAGTAAGAACCAGAGAGCAAATATAATTTTCACCGGAGGTTCCACCGAACATGCAGAAGCAGATGTGCTGAATCAGCATCTACTTGACTCACCCCTTCGCCATGCCACTTCCCAAGTGAAGCCCACCCACTTTTCATGCTCTGTGGTGTGCCTGCAAACCCACTGGCAGATGATCTGCTGCCTTGCGCCACAACCACCACCCCCCAGCTGACCGTCTGGTGCTGTGGGCCCTGTGCTATCAGAAGGTAGCAAAGACCCTGTGGAATAGTGCCATCTGGTGGACCTATTGGGCTAGAGCCGTGGTTCTCAACCCACAGCCCGTGGGCCACTCGTAGCCCAATCAGCACACAGCTGTGGCCCATATGATATCCTCAGGGCCATATAAGTAGTATATGTATGGCGTGGATGTGGCCCACATAACACATAGAGAGCTGCATGTGCGGCCACACTGGTAAATAGGTTGAGAACCACTGGGCTAGAGAGAGAGACACAGGACTTAAAGGTCTGAATCTGGTTTCATCCATTATTAGAGCTCTCTGAGTGTTTCCCCTCAAAACATTTTTGAGGGGAAACGTGTTTTTTGCAAACAGAAAAATGTCAATATGGAAATAAAATGCCCATCCGGAGATGTTGGGACATGGGCAGTCTGACCTAGTGGGTAGAGCCAGGAACAGGAGCTGGGAGTTGGAGCCAAGAATCAGAGCTGGAGTCAGGAACTGGGCAAGGGGGTAGGGCTGGAGCAGACTGAAGTGGGACAGGAACAAGGCAAGTGCTGACCTGGAGCACGTCTGGGAACAAGACAGGAGCAGCGCTTGGAACAAGGTAGGCTCAGGAGAGACTGCAGCAGCAAGTGTAAACGCTGAGCGGCTGGCAACCTGCCGCTGCTGCTTTGCTTAAATGCAGGCCTGTTGTCTCCTTGCAGTCAATCAGATGGACCGGCCAATCAGGTGATTCTGCTGCAACCTAGCTGGGCTCATTACCCAGCCTGAGGGCTGAGCCAGGTCAGAGTCATTTGAGGGAACTCTGGCCCATTGTTCCTGATAGACATGTGAGGTGAAGCCTGATGAGAAGCTCAGCCATGTGAGAAAATGCAACCCTATGGCACCCAAACTACAATTCCCAGGAGGCACCACGGTGGCCCAGGAGGACACAAATTAATATGAACGCAACATAAAACATTCAAGCGTTTCCAGTTTGAAAGTTTCCAGAATTTATCATTCCACCAGAAGTTTTGGTATTTTGAGTTTTATCCGGATGCAGGATGAAAACAAACATTGGCATCTTGGAATTTCCCGCTGGACAGCTCCATTTTCATCAGCTCTATCCATCCAGTTGTTATAATTGTTCAATAAAAGCATTTCCCTGAAACCACAGACTCCCTGTTTCCAGGAAAATAATACAAGCACTGCTGTGAATCTGAATTTTTAAGATAAACGTAAGACAAAATAAACAATTACAAAATAGTTATTTTTCTAAAACAAAAATATTAGTCCCTCAATCTCCTGGAGTTTATGCAGCTTAAAAGAATAGATTCATTTGAATGATTTTTGGTTCTTTATTTGTTTTTCCCCCCATTAATTGTAATCGATTGTAAATGAACACAAATAAGTGACTGGAGCCCCAGGGTTTTCCAAATCCTAAAATCTCTAGTCTGCTGAAACCACAATTTCAGCTTAATTCCCAGTCAAGCAAATTAAAAGGAAAATCGACCGTTTGGTTAAAGCTCAAGACTGGGATTGAAAGGAAGGGTTATCCAGGGGTGAGGGCACTTGCCTAGGAGGGCCATATAAGTACCTTCGATAGATAGAGTCAGGTGACTTGGGTCCATTTCTACTCTCTGCTACAGACTGTGTGTGTGACCTTGGGCAAACTCCTTAATCTCTCTGGGCCTCTGTTCCCTAGAGGTATACTCCTAATAATAGTACTTCTGTTCTTCCACCCTTTGTTTGAGTTGTTTATTCGGATTGGAAACTCTCCAGGCAGATACTGTCTCTCACTATGTGTATATACAGTACCTGGCACACCTGATCTCGACCAGGGCCTTCAGGTGCTACTTGGATATAGATAATAATAACCAGACTAACTGGGGCTTGGAGCCTCAACAGTAGCAGCAGCTGTGGTTGTATTTGCTTTGAGCTCAGAACAGACAGTTCTTTGTATACAAAGGAGGAGTGGACATTGCTATTCTAGTCCCAGCTGAGTGGAGGAGTAATTTGGACAAGGTTATTTCTCAGAGCTGAGGGTAGCTCCTTTCCCAGGCTGTGCTATTGCTGAGACTTCAAACAACAGGCGCTGCGGTTTGGGTGGGAGCTAGGAGAGAAAGTGCTGGTCTGAGCAGAGATTGCCGGCGTCAGGCTCCCACGGTCTTCAGAGATTATATTTTAAATTGCTGACCGCTAATGGAAACCATGGGCCGACTGCTCAGCCTGTGTAACTCCAACGGAGTTACATCAGTAAAGGATTTGACACTGTACAGAGTATGGCCAATCCCAAATGTTCAAAATCCTGAGTCAGTCCCTTCAAAAATCATGAGATTGTCTTAAAATCATAAGTTTTTTTTAAACATTATTTGCAGTTCTTTGTGTTTATCTTCTGACTTTTGAACCTTTCGGATACACTGGGGTTATGTTTTCAAGGTTTTCTTTGCACTCAGGAGGGCTAGAATTTTATTTTTTTTGATGTTTTTAAATGAAAGCTGAGAGTCTCATCCAATCACATGACTCCAGGTGCTCGTACTTTAAGCAAAAAAAGACTAAAATATGTTGGCAACACTGGTGGAAATATTTGTGATTTTTGTCTATAGATGAGTGAATACCACAGACTTTTTTTTCCTAACACCCTATAACGGTTGATGTGATTGTTATTATTCTTCAGATATTAGGTGAATTGTATCAGGTGATTTGGGGATAGCAGTTCTCTTCCTAGTGCACAGTTATCTACATCACCACAATCTTCTGGCAGACTCAGCAAGGAGGTGAATGACCAAATGGCAAATGGAGACTCATTTGCTCTCTCACTCCAGTCTGTTCTGAACCTGTTAGCTGGACTTCAGTCGGGCTGTCTAGCTGGCACTGTTCAGCAACACTAAATTCACCAATAAGAAAGAAAAAAAAATCTGCACCTCCCTTTTATTGTTCTAGCAATAAACTGCATTATTCAGATGTTTCTATGGTTAAACATAAACCATGTTTTACGATAAATTTTTATTCTTTTTTTTTTTAAGCAAAACCAGTATATCAATGAAGGAATCCTCATAAAAATATTGAGCCAAATTCATCCCTACCATAAAACTCCACTGATTTCAGAGAAACTGGGAATTTGACCCATTGATGTAAACTTTTCCCATTAATTCTGATTCTACAAAGTGCCTGAAAGATCAACACTGGCCTTCTCCGCCTAGTGCTTGAATTGAAGGGATAAGGGAGGGGAATTTCCTTGACGCTTCTACTTCTCTGAATGCCGCTGAATCATACCTAGCGGGGAAACAGACCTCTAGGGAGCAAAATGTTTGGGGCCTGCTCCTCAAAGGGCACAGATCAGCATAGCTCCTGCCTTTGCCTTCACTGGGACTATGCCAGTTACACCTGATGAGGATCTGGCCTATTGCCCTTCGAATGCATCAGACGGCAGGTATTATTTTTTTCCCCACTGGTGCCCTCTTTCTTTTGGGGGGCTTCAGGGTTTTGTTTCCCTTTGGGAACCCACTGAGATTAGACCCTAACCCTATAGTATAGAGCAGACATTTCTCCTGTCCCAGAATTGGAGTGTCTCGCTTTCTCCCAAAGAGTAACGACGACGATTAATAATGGAACTGCTCAGCCTGCCTCAGTGCTGGCTGGTGTTTCTGGATCGGATTCAGCACCTAAGCTGCCTGGCAGCGGCTTTTGGGTGTTAACTGTTGCAAGCGAAGGAGCTGCTTGCCCTGACTTCTCCCACACAATGGTATGGCTGCCACAGCTAATATTTGAACAATGTGTTTGCCAATTACGTTAATGCAAACAAGTCCCCTGGATCCCAAGGAAAAGGCAGAGCAAACCCAACGTGAAAGAGATACCGGCCTCCTGACTGCTCCGTACAGAATGACAACAAGGAGGAAAGCATAGAAAAGACAAGGACAGTACTGAACCGTGGACCCTGCTGCGCCCCCTGAATTTTGCAGGTCTACAGTGGCCCAGAGAGCTCAATGATAGTGCCTTAGAAAAGTCATGCAGGATAGAAAGGATACTAGAGATCTCTGTTTGTCCTCCCAAACTCCTTATATCCCTTTCTCCTTTTCTCTGTGTGTTATGCTCTTCTCTCTCACCATCTTTTTTCCATCTCTTCACTCGGGTGCCCATCTCCTCCCTTCACCTTCCCAAAGTATATTATCTTAGGTTATGTCTACACTGGCAGAGTTACAGCCCCGGCCGTTACAGCGCCGCTCAAAGAGCACTGAAGGGAAACCGCTGTTGTGTGTTCGCAATGTCAGCTGCCGCTGCAATAGCATGTTCACACTTGCAGCACTTGCAGCGGTATTGGAGTGGTGCACTCTGGGCAGCTATCCCACAGAGCATCTCTTCCTCTTCTGCCGCTAAGAGTTGTGGGAAGGCAGAGGGGATCGTGGGGTATCCTGGATCCTGTCCCAATGCGCCGTGATGTATTGCTTCGCATCCCACCAATCCCTGTGCTTCCGTTCGCATGTGGCGCCATCTTTCAATGGTTTGTGTACTGCGCAGTCTGCCTCTTCGGTCTGCAGGAATGGATCCCGCACTGTTGACCAATAAGCTGCTCACTCTCACTAACACATCACGAGTTTCAGTGGAGTTACTCCTTAAACTCCAAAGGCAAGAGGAGTTCGGTATGGATCTCGCCACACGTAGTAGCTACGACACGAGATTGCTTGTGGTATTCACAGAGGTGCTGACCACAGCGGAACGCTGCTTTTGGGCTCGGGAAGCAAGCGCTGAGTGGTGGGATCACATCGTGATGCACGGCTGGGATGACGAGCAGTGGCTGCAGAACTTTTGGATGAGGAAAGCCACATTCGTGGGATTGTGTGATGAGCTTGCCCCAGCCCTGCAGTGCAAGGACATGAGAATGAGAGCTGTCCCGTCGTTGGAGAAGCGTGTGGCGATTGCACTGTGGAAGCTGGCTACTCCAGTCTGCTACCGATCAGTCGCTATCCAGTTCAAAGTGGGAAAGTCGACCGTTGGACTCATGTTGACGGAAGTGTGCAGGGCCATTAATCGCATCCTGCTCCGAAAGACCGTGACTCTGAGCAATGTGCGTGATGTTGTGGACGGTTTTGCACAAATGGGCTTCCCTAACTGCGGAAGGGAGATAGATGGCACGCACATTCCAATTCTAGCACCAGACCACCTAGCCACCGAGTGCATTAATCAGAAGAGGTATTTCTCTATGGTTCTCCAAGCACTTGTGGATCACCATGGGCGTTTCACGGACATTAACGCAGGCTGGTCCGAAAAAGTGCATGACGCACACATCTTTCAGAACACTGGCCTGTTCAGGAAAGCTGAACAGAGCTGAGTTACACCAGAAATATATTTGCTGGTTTTATACTTGTCCTGATCCAAGACGTACAATATTATTTGGAAGTAGGCAAAATCCAGTGTAGCTAGGCATCTCAAAAGCGTAGAGGACTGGGACTGATATAACAGAGGGATGCTGCAAGTCAGGGATGAGATGCTGTCCAAGAGTTGTGCATGGATCCCAGACTGGAAGAGCAGGGAGTAATGAAGGTTAGGGTTGAGATGTATCAGCAGAATTGTGTGCTAGGTCAGGATGGGAAAGCAAAAAGTGTTGCAGGTCAGGACTGAGCTATGCCGAATGGGTGTGCATGGGTCCCAGACTGGAAGAACAGAGTGGCAGGTCACATGAGCAGAGCACTGTGTGTACTGGGTGGGGAGAAGGCTGGGATAGCAGAGACGTTGCCGGACAGGGGTGAAATACACCAGTTCTGGAACAGAAGAGGCTGCTGGAGAACAGCTGCAAGATGTGATGGCAGAACTGCGAGGGGTCCAAGGACTAGATCAGCGGGAGGTGCGGCAGAAGAGGATTGAGCCGGATCAGCAGCCACAGAGCTGAGTAGGAGGTTCTAGGGTTGGAATAACAGGGGCTGCTTGTCAGGAATGAGGCTTATTTTCAAAGCAGGGAGAAGGAGGTGGAGGAGGGCTTAAGTATCATGTCCCCACACTATGCTAGCTTCTCGCCCAGAGGTTCCCAAACTTGGGGGAAATAGAATGTATTCTGGGGTGCGGGGTGTGAGAAGCTTTAGGGGGGGGAAAAAACTTACTGCACACATTTTACCCACAGCAATGAATAATTAGCAACGCTGATTCCTCCAGACATACCGGGTCCTCAGACGGTGCTGTGCATTTGACTCTAGATGGCGCTGGGC